CTGAAAAGTAAGTGCCCTGACTGTGAAAATCTTCCCTTGTCTGTCATTCTCTTTCCCTCCTTTTCTCTCCCCTATGTCATTTCCCCAGGCTTTCCTCTCATCTTTCCCCTCCGTCCCCCTTCTCTTTCTCCTCTGTGTTTGGCTAATAAAAAAAAAGGAGAAATAATCAATTGGTTGCTGCTTTGTGCCAGCAGAGATGTTGAATGGAAATCAATCTGCTATCTAAAGACAAGAGGGCTGCAAAATAACACAGAGAAACACAAATGACTTCTGCGCTTAATGGGGGGGGGGGGGGTGTAAGCACAATAAACCAAAGAAAAGACAGGAAGAAAGAAAGACTTTCTAAGTGATGTGACAGAGTGAGGGAGGACCGGGGTGGTTGGTGAAAGGCTGTCTAATTGCGCCTCCTCCGTGCCCCCACAGGAAGCAGTTTGTTTTTTGCGGCCGTCATGCTCTCCAACTTAATACTTTCCAACAAGTATTTTAAAGTCTTGGGATAAAAGTACAAACGCAGCCTCTTGTTGAATGATAGTCCTGTAAATGCACAAAGGCTTTGCTGCGCTTTTGTGAATAAAAACGGGAGCATCAGAGAAAGGTAGATAGATGAAGAGGACAAGCAGCTATCGATGTGAAAAGCTATGACGTCATCTTTGTAAGACAGACAGCTTTAAATCCCATCGGCGCCGTCTCTCCATGATGCATTCTCTGAATGGGGTTAAGTGCTGATGAATTATGTACAGAGATTAGTAATAATATGCAAGGCAGATTATACCAGCAGATTCTTCTATGAATAATCGCTGATTGTTAATTATATATTGGTGTCGTCACACAGAGATAAAGACTGTAAAAGATCAAGAATCAATATCCTATAGCTGAATAACTCTTCAGCGATGTATTTAATAACAACCAAGAACATTGTCATCATCGTGACCCAGACGGTCAATCCCAACGCTCCCCCAGCTCTTGATGATGATGCGTACTGATGAACTATGTATGGAGATTAGCGCTGATATGAAAGGCAGATAATACCGGCAGATTCCCCTACGAAATCTCTATGTTTGTTAATTCCCTCTCCCCCATTTCGCCGGAGTAAATATTTAGCTCAAATAACAATCATTCCCTGCGAGATCGATCTCATCTATGTAATCCTGAGCAAACGGCAAAAGTCAAGAAGGACTAGCGGAGCTCTCCCTGTCAAGGCCGTCCTGGTGAGTCAGCGGCACAGAGTAAGCTGCATTGTTTTAAAGGGTTCGACCGATGATCATGAACTTTCTCATGCCGCAGTCTTGCACCTTTGCTGTCCATCCCTGTTGTTTAGTCTAATTTGCTGCGATATGCACTCTCTGACTGTGCTGTAATGTAATAAACATGGACATATAGTCTGTGCATATGCTCTGACAAAAACAATGCTAATAGCCTTCAACATTACAACAATTGTCTGTTTTTGACAAGGAAACCTTGTATGACATGCAGCAAAGGGCCTCTGCGGAACTTGAGGCCATGTGGTAAGGTTAACCCAGACACATTGTACACGTTCTGTGACATACTGGAGTACCCCCTAAAGGTATGTATACTCAAACAGCTTTTTATTTTTTATTTGCCATTCACTTTTCTGTATCTTACAAAAATGCTGTACTTTTTTTTTAACAGTAGCCTATCTTTCATTTACAGGATTAAGGCATTGAAGAACCCTCATAGCACTCTCATAGCATCCTTGTTGTTTCCTTGTAGCACCTCTAATTGCCCTCGTAGCGCCCTCGTAGCTCCCCTGTAGTGCCCTTTTAGCTCCCATGTAGCTTCCTTGGAGTGTCCTATTAATGTCCTTGTAGGTCCAAGATCATTAAAGTTGCATCTAATCTACTGTAATGTAATCTATACAATTTAGTAATTATCTACCTCCACATTAGCCATATCATGGTTCTGTTTCCACTGTGTAAACTGTCTGACTCTGCTGTGATGAATGCCATGGTGACGTAGTAATTCTGTCAATCTTACCTGTAAACCAGCGAGTCATCTTGGCTCCCGTTGTACTGTATCTGGAACATCCTAATGCCTGGAATATTCCTCTGGAAGTTGAACTTGATCAGTGCTGTTGACGAGGTGGCCTCAGCCGTCACCACCCTCTTATCCACTCCGCCCTTCACGTCACCTGTCACGTTGTTCCCGTTGGCTCCGCCTCGGGTCGATGTGGAAATGTCTGACGATCCTGGGTCTGGCTCCTGGATGTTGTTGGTGTTGTTGGAAATGTGCGGGAGTTTTATAATAACCAGGTCTACTGTCTGGTGGGCTTCACCAGCAGGGTTCGAGGAGATGCAGGTGAAGGAGCCGGTGTCTTTCACAGTACTGATGAGGATGTCCAGAGTCCCATTGGTGTAGACCAACGTTCTGGAGGAGTTTGATACCAGTTTACCCTCAGGAGAGATCCAGTGGATGGCTGGCTCTGGATCACCTCTTGCCTTACACCTTTAGAGAGAGAAAACCAGTAGAGGGGAACACATTAGAGACAAGACAGCTTTATAGTAAAAGCAGAGAATTGCTTGAGGGCGGTTTCTGGATTCCCTCCACCTTCCCTCTTAAACGAAATCTAAACATTATCTACTGTGTCGACAGAGCACATTAATTTAAGTTAGAATATGCTTTACAGTGCAGCCTTATAGGAGAATTTTGTCGAACAAAAGATAATTACCAGTACCTACTGGTAAAAAGAAGTAGGCACAGGAAGAAGGAAGAAGAAAAGCTGTCAGGGAATAATAGGCTAGCATTTTTACAGTAAAGAAAGCAAGTATTTTGTTTCTTTTATCAGGTATATTTATTAAAAACGTACATATAGTATGTATATGTGTTGTTTTGGTCTGTGAAACTTTGGATTAATAATTAGTTTAGCTACAATTCATGATTATTTTTATTATCAATGAAAATACTGGTCTACAGAATGTCAGAAAATAAACAAATTGGCATTATAAGTTCTATTTCATCATTAAAGGATTTATTTTCAAATGTCTCATTTCACCCAACCAACAGTCCCCAAACACAAACAAACATACATATTATTAGTTTGCTCTCATAGAAGGCAAAGCAAACCAGCAAATATTCATATTTAAGAAGCCTGAGCTAGAATTAGTTTTTCCATTTTTGCTTAAAGAAAATAATTAAATGAGTTCCAAGCTGCCAATTCATTTTCTGTCAGCTGACCTAATGGACTACTCAACTAGTAGTTCAGCTTTAAATGAGTTATTATGTAAGCACAATAAACCAAAGAACTAAATGTGTGACTCATTCACAAATGTTAATGAGGAGCCAGACTTTTAGGCAACAAGACATGGATTGTGCAAAAAGGAACTTGTGTCATGTAAGTTAAATACTGAGGAACTGAAGAAAAAAGGGACCTGTTCATATTCGTGGATGTCTTAGAATGACCTTTTGTCTGGGTGCATGAATGAATTAAAATGGGTGCAATAATAAGGTACTTTTAAGTCATCGAAATTATAAGCAATCAAAAACAAGGGGCACAAGTGTCATTAGGGTCATTGTGACCATTCTCATTTTCTGTAATTACTGTAAAGTGCTGTGAAAAAGAATTCAGAGGGAAGTGTAGTATTTCTTAAGGGGACTATGGTGCGGGGTCACACTACACACATTCTCTAAACATGGCTGGCAATGTCTATAGTAGTGAACTAAAGCGAGCTCCAAATTATGTAAAGTTTAGGCTATTGTGGAAGTGAACAAATTAAAATAATCATGCATTTCAATGTATTCAATGATGAATTGGTAAAATAAAGACTGGGTAAACCAAAAGATTAAAAATAATTATCATCCACACCTAACCATGTGCCACTACATTTTCCTGGCTTTTTGCAATTTAATGCAATAAAATGGATGCTGCAAAAGATGAGAAATGTTAGGTGGGTTGACCCTCTGATGAGCTCTACTTATACCTCATAGATGAGAGAATAATAGCATCTTATTGATTTCCTTTGCCACCACTTTCTCAATTTCATCATAATTCCATATTTGAAAACATAACATCTATCATGATTGGAAGCGTGTGACCAATATATATGCAAATGAAGTAATCATCGTCTCTCCGACCTGTTGTCTTGATTTAGCTTGGCCCTCCTTAAAATTTTAGTGTGATGTCCCTGTCTTGTGCTTCATTGAACAGAGGGGCATTTCATGTATTCTTCAGTAGCTTATAAACATAATGCTAACTAAACTACATGAATTAAACCGGACAGGGTGTAGGTCTGTGTTATAAGATAATGAGGAAACTTTGTTTGAGTTGTACTGATTGCATGTGTACTATTTTTATGTATCTCTGTTCAAAACGGATACAGATACCTGAGAGCAACTCTCTGCCCTTCAAGCACCCTCATCTCATGGGAGTATCTGGTGATGAGTGGAGGCTCGCAGAGAAACTCCTCTTCGGGGATGGACCAGAAGTATCGGCCAGAGAGGTGTTGGGGTGAAGCGCAAGTCTCCAGGTCATCCTCTCTGTTCAGCCTTCGCAGCCACAGTAACTCACAGTTACAGTGGAGTGGGTTCCCACCAAATGACAGCGCAAACGAAGTAGAGGTCATGATCCCTGACGTGGCCAGGACCTGGTAGTGTGACATAATGATTAAATTTTAAGAAAAACTTTATTAGTCAAGCAACATTTTATTAAAAACCCTGCTTTGTTCAGTTAAAGCTGTATAATTCAACTGGGGCAGTTGATTTTTCCCATGAAGAGATAAAGAAAGTGAAGTGAAAAAATATATTTCCCCTTCTCTTTAAGCTGTGGCCTGCTTCCCAGCACTGGATGAGTAATTGTATAAATCAGCAGGCCCACAACATTAGGACACAAATATATGTTTAGGATAATGCCAATAGCAAGCAAAGATGTAATCGCCAGAAAATGGCTGAAGACAGAGTCGGTCCATTCACTAAGGTTGAAGACTGGATCGATGTTGTTCATAGTATATATACGATGAAGAAGTTGACTTACTGTTCCAGGACAAATTCAATAGAATCTGGGAAAACTGGATTAATTAGGTCAGATTTTGTCATAATAATAGAAAATGTAAACCAGAGAACCCCATGGTTCATCGGTAAAGAGTTTGAAATGTTCCTGTAGTTTGAATTGTACCACTGTAAATTAACTATTAATGTGAATGTAAACACACTGGAGCTTTAGTGTGGTGGGAATAAAACCTCTAAAAATTACCTGTGCTCGTTGAAAAAGTGGGTCTGGTGGCAGCTTTTGGAGTTTATTAGAGGTGACGTCCAGCCGGTTCAGCTTCTGTAGCAGGGAAAAGGTCCCCTCTGGAATGAAGTCCAACATGTTGTGGTCTAAACTCAACGTATGGAGGCTAATCATTTTCTGCAGGAATGACAAAGAAAAAATGTTGTTATTCTTTTGCCTTTCATATAGATGTTTTCTGACGTATGTATGTTGAGGAGGTTAGGAATGTAGAAACTAAAGGAATTCAAAAATTGTTTTAATAGTTCTTTAGTCTTTAGAATTCTGGTTATTGTCACTATCCTTTTAATCTCTTCCTTCAGTCCTTGATGTACAGTGGTGATTAGAAATGATGAAGCTGATGTTGTAAATGTAAAGTTGAACTGAAAACAATGTAGCTACCATGTGATTAATCATTATAGAAACAAAAATCTAAAACCTTAAAAAGCACTTATTTATCAAACTATAACTACATAGTCAACTACTTGTTAGAGACCCTGACATTTGTAATACATACAAATTGCTTGTTGGCTGACAAATAGCAGTAGTAAAATTGTAACTGTTAGCACTGAAAATGCTGTGAAATTAGAAAATTCTTCTTCAGTGGGAAGTGAGCTTAATACATAGTCAACATACTCTGTTTAAGCCAAAAGTCCTTAGGATCTCTTTATTTTAATTTCAAATAAATGGCCAAAAATGTTTTATGGCCATTTTATTGCGCTTGGGAATGGCTTTTTTTAAGGGCCTCCAGGTAAAAAGGTTTGACAGGTTGCTGCAGTTTAAAGAGATCCTGACCTGGATGGCCTCCCAAGGAATAGAGTCCAGGTTATTGTAACTGAGGTCGAGTTCTTCCAGCGCCAGCAGGTCGTTGAATGCTCCCTGGTGGATGAGCACCAGCTGGTTGTTGTTTAGAATAAGGTGGTGAAGCTTCGACATCCCGCTGAATGTATCGTTGCCTATCCTCGTCAGTCGGTTACTGCAGATAAGACAAAAAGAGAGGAACTGATTGAACACCTCGCATTTATCAAGAGGATTTCATGCAATACAAACTGGAAGGCAACTCATGAAAATCGGGCTAGTAGATTTTCCTCTATCTTGCTGACAGACAAACAGCACTGAAAACATAACCCCCTTGGTGGAGGTAATAATACAACAAACACATACCAGTCTACAGCTGAATGCAAATCCATACCTGTTGAGGTGTAGAGCTCTGAGGTTTTCCAGATCGGCAAAGGCATGAGGTGTGATGTAGGAGATGGTGTTTCTAGATAAGGTTAGGTCCACCAACCGTGTCATGTTTGCAAAATCTTTCCTCTTTACACTGTGGACACATAAGTTAAATTAGACAAGAGACAGACATATATCATCTATGATATTTCCTCCAGCATGACTGTAGATCAGACCAACACCAACATATCCAAAAAGAACTCTGATTAATCATTCTACTGATAAAAATTAATTTCTAAATATTAGAGTAGTCCATTAAAAGGTGAATATTTGTCAGTCTTTAAGTAGTACTTCAGCAGATCTTTATGGGAAAACTCTTTAAATATGTAAAAGCAAAATGTAAAAAAAAACTAAATTCAAATATGGTATTCCTTTTATCCTGTGCAGCTCATTCAGTATTTGTGATCGTGAACAACTCTCTCCACAGGCTACAAAGCAGAGAACCAAGGCTCTAAACTGCAGTGCCATCAGGACTCAGCCTTGAGCTGCTCCATTGACTATGAACTGACTATGACTTACTCTGGGGCTTCGAAGAATGTGCTTTTTTAACACCTAAATTAGTTTTATTTCATTCTACTGCCAGCAGATAATGTGCTCGAATCACCATAAAAAGCACCCCGTGTGATTACAGTCTGTCCAAAAATTCAGCGACTTTATTCTCGCCAGAGAAGCTCCAGGCTGATGACACCTGATGACATCATCAGTGTCTCTGTTTCCAGCTTTCAGGAGTCACACAATAAGCGCAAACTTTCCCAGGACTAGTATACTTTGTTGTTAAAGTGGGAAAGGAGTACTGTATGGGTGGCTGTCAATAATTAAATGTCAGTGAAGTAGTAATTTAATTAAGACACATTGTATATCATAATGACCTTATCTTCCAATGAACACATTTTTAGAAGACCAGAAGCAAACACCACTACTTTTGTGGATATAGTCACTATTCCAGGCAGCTGTAGTAGTTTGGTAGTAACAGTAATAGTACTTGCAGTATATCGTAGATAGTATCAAAAGTTTTTCTGCCCTGACAGTCTCACTAGTAACAGTAGTTTTAATTTAACTGTGTCACTAATTGTAACAATAGCACTCACAACAGAGGGAACTCTAGTAGTAGCGGCATATGTGTTAGCAGGTGGTCAGACCAAAAATAGCTCTGCGTTTAAAAGGTCTGCTCATGTAATACAACCAACCAGGAGGCAAAGAACATATCAGAGAGATCTGTGATTGGTGGTCATTCTTTAATTTTGACACAATGAAACAATCAAATTTGACCTCTAAGAGTGAGTTTGTTTGTATGATAAAATATGGATGATTTCCACTAGCTAGAAGTCCTGAGGGAAGCTAACAAGCATCTGCTACAACAATGAAATTCAATGAGTGAATGAGTGTGAGGGATTTGTCCAGCTGGTGAGGTTTTGGAAATACTGTTCCTTAGGGGTTGAGAATTTTTTACACGTTATATCATTTGTTACCTTTACATCAAGGCAAACTGTTAACTAACAGGTGGTTACTTAATACATTGACTCGAAACACTCCAAAGGGGATAACACAATGACAGAGAATATTGTGCGGTATAGCAGAGGGTAAAAATATATTGTTTATGTTACAAAATGATCCAACAGGAAAGTGCCACGTGTTTCATTGACCACTGCACTGTGTTGCCGGATGTGTTCCAGCAAGAGCCTGGTTCCACTTTTTTGCCAGATGGCCCTGGGGTAACCCCAACTATGTCAAATCAGTAGTCTCATTGAAATGAATGAGGCTGTGGTTTCACAAAGTTTGTTCTCTAAGTTGTACTAGTAAGGGAGAAGGTCTGCAGTATTAATCCTATAAAGTACTAGTTTTTCTTAGTGGTATCACTGATGTGAACGTTACCTTGTGACAAAGTTGTCAGCCAGCCGCAGCTCCACTGTATGCCTATCAATGTTCGGCGGTACAAACAGTAGACCTTTCTTGGCACAGAGGGTTGCCAGGTTGGGTGACAGGATCTGACATACACAGCGCTTCGGGCAGATCTGTGCCCGCACTGCCATGGCAACTGCCAGCATCACACACAGCAACAGCCTCTCCATGGTTACCACCCCACCTGGACACGACGCCTGAAAAATGAGACAGACAGGGACAAAGCAAGAGAGAAATTGAGATGTTAATGAGATTGGACTTTTTTTCAAATAGGAGTTGAGCATATATTGTATAATGCATACTGGGAATAAATAATATAAAAGACAAACCAAGGCATTTCTTCACCCAGTCAAATTATTGGGAATTATCGCCCATTTATTTATTTTAATATATTTCCAGTGTTTCTGCAAAGTTTCCAGTATTCAATCCAAAGAAAAACCTGTGTGCCTCACACTGCTCTACAGTGTTCACTCTATCCAGTGTCATTTTCTCATGCTACGCTGGACTAATAGACTACTTATCACCCACTGCACTTCCTTCTATATCTGCTAAACTGTATGGCACTTTGAATGCAGAGAGCTATATGGAAAGTTAAGTGTATATCTTGAAGGGAGCATGATAAGTGCAGTATGGAGAAGGATGACTTGCACTCTACAAGGGCCTGGTGTTAATGTGTCGTGTTAGTATGCATCAAGAATCACTAAGCGTTTGTGTACATCAATGAATAACCCCTGAACATGCATTGGAGTGACTCCGATTCTGATGAAGCTAAAATCTTAATGATCAGACGTGACTAGATGAACCCTAAGGCATCTGAGCTGAATCACCACCAACTTTTAGGCATCGCTAATCAAACCAGAGGAGATGTTTATTAGAGTCATTTATAGCTCAGCGGTGTTGCCATGCGTGTACATGCGTGCACTCGCACACACACATACTCAGTCATCATTAGTAAGCAGCAGTGCTTGTACTTAATTAGGAAAGTTTAGAGAGAGAGAGAGCCAGAGCAGGGCGAGGCTGGGAGAGAGAAAATGCTCATTAATGACAACCTTGATTGGGGTTTGAAGGACATGGGAGAATCAGGATTAAAGGGATCACAGTGCAAACACAGACACACACACACAAGCATGCACACTAACATACAGATTAATATACATACACACACACACAACGCAGGCTGGGTGAGGGTGAAACTGCAGGTGAGGTTGTTCTCACACTATATTATATTAAAAAAGTGATGAAAAGATTTTTTTCAGTAAAGTGCAGTGTATTGCAGTATTTCTTCAGCCAGATACTAATGATTATAACTATCTAACTGGCTTTATCAGTTGTGTGTGTGTGTGTGTGTGAATAAATGATAGAGGAGAATACAATACTTCAAAAATACCAATTAAAGCTGGTTGTTCTAATGACTGTGTACATGTTTATCTGTTGTTTATGTAATGAATTAATTCAGCTGTGTAATAAAATAAATGTTGCACTAACGAATGGCTTTTAAAGAGGAACAGATCTCATCAGAGAGCTGTGATCCCCACTCACTAAGAAGTACACAGTTGAGGTGTTAAAATCAAAAAGCTTTCCTGTTCAATTTTGACTCCATCTGCAGTGTGAATTCATTACTGGGTCGTCTCTGCACTTCCCAGACATGGACTGTCACTTAAACTGTGTGGCCTGGACTCACGGCTGTCACTGCTCATGCTAAACCTGCATTTTTCTTATTTATTCCGAAATGGAGACATAAATCTGGCTAATTCCTGTTTGCCAGACATGTTTGCAGAAGAAGAGATGCCAGGTTTCCAAAAAAATAACTTTATGAACTGACTATGGGTGGAATCATCACACTAATTAACCAAAGAGAGTGATTATTCAGATATTTGACATATTTATTTGACTTGTCACCTCGATTCTGCCCACATTGTGATCCTTTCTCAGTAAAGAAATGAGTTAAGTGGGGCTGGTGGACTTGTCACCAGACATGGGTGTGTCCCAAGTCAAGTAAAGCACCATTATTTTTTACATCACATGTTGCTTTAGCTTTTGCTAGGCTTGCTTACTCTAGCAGGAAAAGGTGGAGGTAGGCGACCTCTCAATCTAAGCATGTAGTCACACTGCATGGTTTGCATTTAGACCTGGCTGAGATCAGATCACTCATTACAGTGTGTTCTGTGTGATTTTGCATTAGGGTGGTGTAAATGGGGTCTTAGAGCCACCAATTAATACACATTTGGTGTGCAAATGACCATTTTTGGCAGCAGGAAAGGCTATGTGTAATGGACTACATAAATAAAGTACAGAGAAGAAAACATGTTACAACTGTAACGGTGTGGATCACTGATTTGTTTTAAATAGATTTGGACAACAATGGAGATCTATGGCAATAATAAGCTACTGTATAGTTAGTTTTGCTCTTTAAATTGGATTTGTTTAGATAAGAATATCACCATCCTTATCCTTCTATTCTAGTCCTGAAACTGCTCACCAGAAAACCTGGTCTGGAGAAATACAGTAGCTGTTATAGTTTTAATACTGTGATGACTCATCTTCGCAATGTGAACCTTGGAACCCATTGGCTATCACCTGACGATGATTTAGCCTCAGACTGTTTACATGCAGGCAGCCAAAACCTGCTCATACCTGATTGGTCAGTACTACTAGGACTACAAATGGAAACCAGAATGCTTCTGGTGCCAGAATCTTGGTCCCTTGCCTACAGATTGTGCATTTATGTGCAGACACCTGTTGTTAGAGATAATGCAAGTGTTGGGATGTCATCTTTGTATCAGTTTCAGAAACTGACACTTTTCCTGGTGCTATCTGAATGGAGTCGGTGTGATAAAATTCCACGGCAGGTTGATATAAGTGCTACATATTCATATTATATCAAATTATTACCCAGGACTAGGAAGCCATTCACCTTTCTCTAGTCTCGATGTGTGGTCCTCTCTATATATCTCTTTCATTGCTCAGTGTAATTACTGAGCTGAAATCTGCCACGGTGTCGGAGGTCATACACTCTCTGTTTTTCTTTCCCTCTCTATTTGAGTGCAGAGAAAGAAGAGCAGAAGGACAGAGCGGCAGCTAAATAGAGCGCCGGGTGACTCATATGCACGGGCGCTAGACAGAGAGAGAAAGAGAGAGAGAGAGACGGAGAAAGCTCATGACCCTTGTGACACGAAAGCAGATATCAGCTCATTAATTACACTGAGAAATGACTGTAATGAGAGCGAATGAGTGAGAGAGACAGAGAAATGGAAAGGAAACAAGGGAGAATTATCAGAGAGGGAGAGGAAGAAAGAGAGATCAGAGAGCGAGCTAATTAAAATGAGTGCTGAGCTGTGAAAGAAAAAGGGGGAGAGGGAAGAATTTCATTTAGCGAGGAGAGACGAGGTACGATAGATGATGCCGGTGTATAGAACACTCACTATATGGGAAGGGACGCATATGCTACTCACTTGTCGTACACGCATATGGAAAAGCAGATTACAACAGAATGGTGCTCGATTTCACACAATCCCCTCTCCATAAACACACACATGAGATACTGACTCGGTGTAGCTTGAGGTGACATGTAGGACCACTGGGATCAAATGGAATGGTGAATTAACCAAAGGGATTATGGGTAAGGAAGACAAATTAAGCTCTGTTTGTAATGGTGTGTAAAATACGATTCTTTTTCTCACACGTGTGCAGCCTGCTTTATCCACTTCTTTGAAAGCCTTCCACACTGACACCCCAGTTCCCCCGAAGGTCTTCCATAAAGCCAGTTTCACCCCTGGCTTGCTAACTGATGAACAACTGGCTTCTCGGACAGCTCAAATGGATTCTCCCCACGCTCCATATACTGAAACTGATCTTAGGCTGCATTCAAATCGCTCAGGGATAACCAGTGGAACGACTTGGCAGTTAAAAGCGACGGCTTGGAAGTACTCACACATTCAAACTCTTTTGAAGCTGCCAAGAAGCCATGATTGAAGATTTCTGTAGACTGTTGTTGCTTCTGATCAGCTTTTTCACACTTAATGCACATCCAATTAGGCAGTGATACGTTTGAGGTCATACGGTTGATAGCAAACCATACATTGCAGTATTTAATAAGAAATCCAGAATGTTTTTTGTGTTCTAATCCCCATTTTCAATCCGAAAGCAAAAGTAAACAGTTGTGTAGGGATTTTAATTCTAAATCTGTTTGGGCTGTTGTTCAGTTATTAGCTTAGCTGTGGTTTAAGATTTAAGAAGGGTTTAAACCTCATATAATCTTGTAAACCCCACTGTAGTGTCCACAGACGCTTAGGGTAGAACTGCACCTTTTCACCGTTTCTAGTGTAAACCCAGTTGCTGTTTTATGAATTCAATTATGTCCGATATGCCTTAACTAAGTGTTTTAGAGACAAAATGTAGTAGTATATATCGTTTACGTTTGTACTTGATGAGCAATCAGGTCTAACTTCTGTGTTTTATTCCCCTGCAAGTTCTGGTTTAGCTAAACCTGTAATAAACTGCAGCTAAGCTAATCAGATGCTTAGTGGCACAGCTACATGATGCCTAAGTGCCTGAGGAAATGGTTAACAAGCAGCAGCCGGCTGGTGGGTCCAGTGATTACAAACTCATGCTGTGCAGCCAGACTTTGTTCAAACCCACAGACATTTACTTTAAATTCTAGTGGAGAATCCAAAGTATCCAAAGATAACAAATTTCTCGAGCAGAATGTTGAGTGGTTTGTGTGCAAATGTTTTAATTAGCAGGAATGGAGCAGCAAAAAGTTGGAACTAGAGGGTTAAGGTTGAGACAATAATATACAGTTTACTGTCACAAAGTGAGATATCAGATGGTTTTTCAACCTTAAAAAGGAAGGGGAGGAGGGATGTTGAAATGTTAACTAGGTGACGACAGAGGGGAAGTATTCCCTGGAAATATTAACAACTAAGAGTTGAACAGTACCGTTTCTATGACTGACATAGGCGAACTGTCAAAGTCAAAAGCTCGTATAGTCACCACCGTCGGAAAAGTCGGAAACTACTCTGTCATCCCAAAGTGTCATCCAGCGGTTTGCAGGGCCCTTTGTCAGGTAGTCTACTATGGTACTTGTGTTGTTAAAATAGATTAGTCATGTCAGAGTTAGGAAAACACTTCATATGCTGAAGTGTTCTCCAACAGTCTCAGAGCGCCAAGCTCTTG